GCCCCTCCCAGAGCTAGTTAATTCTTAGAGATAGTAAATCACTGCCTACCTGGGCAGCTTTCATATATAAACCAACCAGTCCAAATCCCATACTCCTAAATGGGCTCTTATTCTTCTTTATGGGCTCTTATTCTCTGGGCCACCATTTTCCTTCCCTAACTGTCCCAGGACCAGCTACCAGACAACTAGGGCAGCTCCTATAGCAGAGCCTGCTAAAATGATTCAAACTAACCAATCCTAAATTTGTTTATCCTGCCTCCTCCATTCTTCCCACAGAAACCACACTAAAGACTTGTGCCTATGTTTTTCCCTTTCACCCTGCCTCTCCGTGTGGTCCCCACACAAGGCACACTGCACCATACCTGGTGAAAACAATATTGTGAGTACCCTTAAAACAGTGAATACATGTGATGTCCCTAGATCTACTACTAATTTCATTCAGCAAAAACAAACAGTTGAATCTGATTTTGTTGTAGCAGCAACACTGTAACCTATAGGCTGGTTTCCCCAAGTTGGGATCTTTTTTTTTCTTCTTTTTCTTCTCAGTGCAGTCTCTACATATTTTGGGGGGTGGGGGAACAGAGCAATAGTATGACCTCTGAACTCCTAAAAACAAATCCTCCAAAATGAAACATTCAGATAGATTTAATGATTTTTGAGAAGAAAGTAAAACAACAAAACAAAAAAATCCCACATTACCACCCCCCCATCAGAATTATGTAATAAATCCTTTGTAACTTTTAGGCAGCCCTAGTTTTAAAGATCAGGTGGTCCGACAGTTTATGAATACCAAACAAAATTTGCCATTTATAGAGAGTCAATTGCCAGGCATTGTTTACAAAGTACACTTGTAGATAAGCTGTAACTCACATGTACGATATTATTTAAGAGGTGCCACCGATGCACATGCCCCCCCAAATACCCTGGTCTGCCACAGTGCTTCCTCCCAACCTATCTGTTTTGTTTCCTGGTTGTAGAGTAAACAACCATTTGCTTCAGAAGACCTCTATGAAAGCATATTTAAGTCATCTGGGAGGGGAAAAATATTTCTACCTGGTGTTAGCTTTCATGATTTTTAGCTGCTGAAGATTCTAGTTGCTGGCTTGCTACTAGACTTTGGTGGAGTTTCTCAAGCCACAGGAGTTTAGGGTATGGTTCTGTTGATTTGGGGTGTATATTCCAGTCTTCTCCAGAGTCGAAAGCCATGGATCAGTTAGAAAAACCACCTGGGAAGACAAGGAGATTGCCTGGGGCAGGGCAGGTGTTTAATAAATATTTGTTGCATGTTTAGTTGAAAGATCTGAGTTTCAGTTACAGCTTTGTGCTGTATAGAGCTGAACCAACTTCAGTCATATGAAGCCAGTAGAGAAAATCCTGAGAGGAGAGTAGGAGCTCCTGGAATTAAGACGAGTGATCCAGGAGTAGAAAGTCACAGAATCAAGGTAGCTTTGGAGACTTGGCACACAATCCACAGGAAATTCATGGCTTAGGAACAATCTGGCCCCAGCACCACCACTGTCCCAATGATGGATGGCTCCAATCTCCAGCATCCCCTCCGACTCAAGATTCAAAATCCTGGGAATTTCAGGGTCTGAGTGGCTGAGTTGAAATAATTTGCCTAGAGGTAGTAAAAGAAGGATCTGAATTCTTCAGTCGTGATGGGAGGCTGCAATAGAAGGCACATAAAGAGGAAGGCGAACATGACTTCATGGGGCTTGGGTAGCCAGCCAGACAGCAGGAGAAGAATCTTGGGGAAGGGCGAACAGAACCAGAATGGTGGGAAGTGGAGAATAGGTGTTTTGTGGTGTTCCTAGGCTAGCACAGGAGCTCAGTTATTTTTTAAATTAACGGCAAAGTGAAAATCTAAATCATGCTATTCAGATATGAGACTGAAGTTCCTCTGGCTGGCTGAAGCTGGGAGAGTGTCCCCACAGAGGGTGATTTGTTCCAGAGGCAAACTGGCTAGTCACCTTTGCTCTTGAGACTTTTCCCATTCACTCTAGAGCAGGAAACCTCAAGCCCTCCCCCAGTGAGGGGCTGGGGTGTTGGTATCCTTCCCCTGCCTGAATCAGAAGAAGCGGGGGCACTTGTGTCCAAAATCTCCATGGAGTTAGCTCTGGGTGTTCCCAGGCTTTAGCCAGACTGGAGTGAATTTGCCTTCACAGTTCAAGGAAATGTGCTTCTCTCTCAGGGTTTTTGGGTGAGGGATCGACCTTCAATTTCCATCCATATTACTTGCCTCCTTTAAGAGAAGAAAGGTATAGAGAATAAGTAGCATAGATGGTAGGTAGAAAATAGACAGGGGCAGGGTAGGAATAGTATGGGAAATGTGGAAACCAAAGAACTTATATGTATGACCCATAGACATGAACTAAAGCCGGGCGATGTGGGTGGGAGGGGGTCTGCATGGCTGAGGGGAGTGAAGGGCGGGAAATTGGACAGCTGTAATAGCATAATCAATTTTGTGTATACACACACACACACACACACACACACACACGTGTGTATGAATGAGAAGACTCTCTTTTTTCCTCTCCTCCATGAAGAGCAGCATGGCCCAAGAGCTTGAATTCTGGGTGTCCTATACATCTGGGTTTAAATCTAAGGTCTTGTTCTTATTCACTGGCTGTGCGACCTTGTCAAATATCACCCAAGCCTCCTTCTTCCTCTGTGAAACAGGAAAAATAGCGCCTGTCTTGCAGGGGCATGAAAATGTACATAAAGTGCCAAGTACATAGAAAATTATGGGGCAGGGCATCCATATCCATTAAAAATGTCAAGATGGCAGCTCTTCTCCCATTCCAGCCTTTTTACATGAACACTAATTATTGTTTATTTCTCAATAAGAATTTGTTAGCTTGTGGATACCAATGTCAATTTTTGAAAATTGATACTAATATCAATCCTCAAAAGTGGATCAATTTTTGAGAATTATATTATTTTGCAATAGACCAATAATATGATTTTGCAGTAATTTCTCAGGCACGATCAAAGCTTAAATGAAATTTTCCTTAAAATCCTCCAATTCCTAAAGTCTAAGGAAATAACTGGTTAGGTACACAAAGATATTATACAGAAGGATGATCACTGCAGTGTTGTTTATCAAAGTACCTATAGGGGATTATAAGATTAAATAAATAATAGCAATTTTTTACAGTAGAATTCTATGTAGCCATTAAGAAGATACTGTAAAAATATATTTAATCACATGGAAAGATGCTTTTGCTGTATCAAATGAATAAACTATAAAAAGCCATTGTAGTGTGGATCCATTTTTATTACATATATGTGTGATAGCAGAAGGGATATATGTTAAATATGAACAATGCTTTTCTTTGGGTGTGGAAGTATAGATGGCTTTTATTTTTATTTTTACTCATAACTATGGTATTTTCTATTTTTCCCCACAATAAATGCTTGTTATACATATATAAAGGAGAAGAAAAGAATGATCATGTGATGCTTTTTTGCCCTGATTTTAGACTCCTCAAGCACCCTTTTGATTTTTCAAATTTGGTTTCTTCAAGGCAATCTTTTAAGAAGAGATAGGGTCAAAGTTATATCCAGCTGAAACAACTTAAAATGGATATCAAAGGCAGTCTCGAAGGTTTTTTTCCCCTCCCAGAAAAAGAGATGTAAATGAAAGGAAAACAGTGCACCTACTCTGTTTTTTGTTTGTTTTGTTTTATTTTAAAGAAACTGCAGATAGCACTGTGGCTTTCCCTCAGGTGACTGGTTTGTAAAGCCTAGAGCCCTCTTTCTGGTTCCTACCCCCTGCAGGGTGAGACACTCAAGTCACTAGCCCAGGGAAATTATTCTGATGGTTCTAGTACCTATGTTTCTGGGTATTTATCTCTAAACTGGGAAAAGGGAATAGGATAATGGATATAAATCTGTCCCTGGAAAGATAATTTTTCCTCCTGTGATAAAATAAAATAGTATTCTGATTAAAAATATTTCCTGAGAATTTGCCTAGCATGAAAAGTCCTTGATAAAATGATAAAATACCTTTAAATATTTACTGAGTAAATGTCCTAAGTTGGTAAGAGAAAAAAAAATAAGACAGGATCCTTGTCTTAAAGGAGTCCAAAGACAGTCTAATTGGGGCAGACAGACATATAAATAAATAACTGTAAAATAATATGAGAAAGGTCGTAACCAATTTATGAACAAAGTGATATTCAGCACATAAATGTGATAACTTAAAATTTTAGGATGAGTGGGAGAAAACATTCCAGAAGGAGGAGGAAACTGTGTCACAGCTTGAATTAGCTAAGTATTCAGGCAGAAAGATCGTTCCTGGTCAGATGACTGAGGCTTTTGTATGGAAAGTACCTCAAGCTACCACAGTGTGGTACACCCAGTGAGTCTTTTCCATCAGGTTACCATAGTGAATGATTGTCAACGAATCAGGTTCCGAAATTGAATGAAGTGTTTGTAGAAAATTATCAGAGATCTCCAGGGCTTCATGAAATACTTAAAATAGAAGTCAAGCACTGCTTCGGCCAAGCCCTTCACTTTTCTCAAACACTTGGAAGTGTTAATTTTTGCTGATTGTGTTGCTCAACTTCTGAAAGTCAGTAATTTGTGCCATTCCAATTTTCCAGGAAAAAATATGGAACTAATAATGACATACAAGACAGAGGACAAGAGGGAGAATTAGGGACTTCTGTGTCTTTTGAGTTTCAAATTTTCTTTAGGTGATCACCAATCTGACTGGATCCAATACCTACTCTATCTTCACATTCCCCTTGCCTTTCTTGCTTGCTATCCCTCCATCAGTTTTTCCGGATTTCTAGGTCTCCAGGCTTAACAGTGACCACTTCCTTTGCAGGAGCGCCCTCCACTTTAGCCCGGGTCCCAACTCCATCCCGAACTCCAAGCAGGGCGGGCCAGCCCTCGGGTCACCGCCCCAACAAACACGTCCGGGCTGGGCGTGGCTGCGAAGAGCAGAGGGGGCGGGGTCCAGGGGGCGGGGCCTGCGGGAGCGGCGACGCAGGCGCACAGTGGATCCGCCGCGCGGAGCTGCAGCCATGGAACCAGCAACCCCGGACCTCGAGCGGCTTTTGCAGCCGTCGCCGCTGGAACCTCTAGGCCACACCGACGCTGGGCTGGAGGCTGTGGTCGATGAGGATGCGGAGGGGGTCCGAGACGAGGATGTTCCCGGTAACCAAACGGTGAGGAGAAGGGGCGGCGGAGACTGCCCGGCCTGTGTCTGGGCCTAGCGGGCTGGGCTAGGCTGGCGGGGGCGGGTCGGCTTGGCCCAGCGACCCGGCAGTGACCGGGAAGCGGGATGGGAAAGCTGGGCCACTGGAACGGTAAGGGGTAGGCTCAGTGTAAATAGGGGTCAGAGGTAGGAGCGAGCGCCAGGTGCAGCGGCACCAAGCGAATTCCGGTCGAGAGGGCAGCGGCGAGGGGAGCCGAGGGTACCTGTGAGTGCGGTTCTGCGGATGTGGAGGTCCGGGCTCCGAACCGTCCAGGCTGTGGCAGACCGCGGTTTTCAGAGGTCAGGGACCCCGAAGTCTGTACCTGAACAGGAACGCTGATGTTTCTGGCAAGGGGTTGTGCGGAGGAGATGGCTTAATGAAGGCACTGTGGGGTGTGGGCAGCGGCGGTTGAGAAAGAAGATAATGGGGGACTTGAACAAGTCTGGGGCATTAAAGGTGGTTGGGTTGGCGCCACAATCAGGGAATTGCAAGTGTTGGATTCAAGAAACGGTACAAGTTTAAGGAGAAAAAAAACATTTAAAACTACTTGTTTGGCTGAACTTTAATTTGTGGATCAGCTGTATTGTTCAGTGGAGACTTGTAGATATCTCGTGAATCTTCTTTGTGAATCTCCTTTGGTAATTAGTGATTTTCATTTGCTTGAGGAAAAAAGAAACTGTATCGTTTTACATTTGTAATTGTTTTCAGTCCAAAGTGTTTTCACTCATAATGCGTGATGGATAGACCAGGTTAAAAAGAAGCGTTTCTGAAACTCAGTCTAGTGCTGCACATCAGACAGCACCCTGTCAATCAGTATGCGGATTGCTCTTTCATTTTGCCGCTTTTTTTCCCTGAAACTGGTGTTAGTGCTAATATAAAACTGCTTATGATGGATAAAGGAAAGTTAAACTTGTTTGCTGACTGAAGCTATGTAACCAGAAAGACTCTTAACTTTAAGTTTAGAGACAACATAGCCAGGAACTTCAACACAGAAATTGAAGGTTTTGTCTACTTGGGAAATGTCGAGGTATATAGGGTAGCATGAAGATTTTGGGGGTGAATGTTAAGTTTTTATTGAATTTTCCCCTAAGTTCTAGAATTTTTTTGTGAAGAGATCAGCTTCTTAAATGTGACAAGTGTGTGCACTTTTGTGGTGCATAATTTGACTCGTAACATTATTAGCTTTTTATGCAGCTATGTGACTTAGTTTTTCTGTTGTCTTTCTTTTAAAAAGTCATTGTGAAGTGTATAATTAATGCAGAGAAGTTTCCCACAAAATAATTATCAGATCCTTTGAAGCCAGTATATTCTGGGTTATGTCCACCCCCTGTACCACAGAGGTAACCAGCATTTGGAATTTTGTAGTAACAATTCTCTTGCTTTACTTAATCTTTACCATATATATCTCTAAAGAATATATTGTTTAATTTTATTTGATTTTGAAATTTACATAAGTGGAGTAATTTTACTATGATTTTTCTCTCTTTGCTTAATATTATGATTTTGGAATTCGTCCAAAATGTGACTTAGTTTGCTTATATTCATGGCTTTATAGTAAGCCATTTTATAGATATTCTGCAATTGATTTCTCTTTTCTTGGAGTTGTTACCAGATTCTTGCTCTTTGTAAAGAATTACCACTACCATGAACTTCTTCCTATATATCTCTTGGTGCAAATGTATTAGAGTCTAATACAAATTTAGGAGTGGAATTGTAGGATTGTAGGGTAGTAGCATGTACAGCCTGTAGTAGATAGTGCCAAATTGTTTTCAAAGAGAATATACTAGTTTATACTCCCATCAGCAGTGCCTGATACTCTCTAGCTTCATCAATACTTAATATTTTCAGAGTTTAAAATATTTGTCAATCTTCCAGATATGTGTTAAAGCAATTTTAGATTGTTTCAAAGGGTAAGAATCATATTTTTTGTTGGCTACATCATGAGTTTAATTTTGGTTATGATGATAAAAATTTTGGTGATTTTTTTTTGGTGAAAGCCTTTAGAAATTTAACTAGTATGAAGTTACAACTATAGTATAAAATCAAGTTATGTTAATTTAAAAGTAATTATAAATAACTCATTTAAAAAGCTCTCGTATGTTCAGTTTAAGATGTTTGGAAATCCAAAGATGCCATCATAGAGTAGAGGCTGTAGTTATATAGAGGTTGTGTTACCATTTTAGGAAAATACTGATAAATAAGTGTTCCAAGAGACTCTCTGTTAGTGACCAGACTTAGAAATTCATAGAGACACAAGCCATTTAGACAATATTTCAGAATTACCAGGAGTTTAAAGACACATACATTCATATACTCTGTACACTGTTCCCTCCTCCCAAAAAATTACCCAAACCCTCCTTAAAGGGTATATACTCCTTTTCCATACTTCTGTCCCTTTTACTCCAGTTCCTCCCCAGTCAAGAAGTATTGCTATAGCTATCACGACCTTGCTGCTGTTTACTGATAGGGATGTGGCCTGGGTATAAAGATAAGTTAGATTTATTCTTTGAATGTGGTATTCACAGTAAGGCTGTACTCTTTAATTTTAAGACTCAGAGATAAGTGATTCGGCCAAGGTCACTAGGTAAGTCAGTGGGATGGCTGGGACTTGAGGTCAGGTCTGCCTGGCTTTGAAATTAGACTGCCCATTAAGCCATGTGGCTTCATTTAAAAAAACCAAAACTTAAAAATAGTTTTGTAAATTGCCCCAAAACTGTATTTAAAATTTTTAGTTTATATTAAGTTGTAATTTTAAAAAGATAAAAGGTTTGAATGGTGTGTTGATTTATCACACAGCTTTTTATCACAACACTATGCAGATAGTGTGAAGAGATGGCAAAGTCCTCACCTCATGAACCTTAATTTTTAACCCTGCAAATTTTGGACAGAGTAATTTGTACCAATTTCCCTATACCTAGGGGTAGTGGAAGCAAGCACTGCCAAAGACTTGCAAGTTTCTTCTGGTTTTAAACATTAGTAGTCAGTATTCTAAATTCTGCTGTAAGCTCTTATTCTGTAGTCTCTTGTTTTTCTTTCTGTGAGTATGTTCAGTTCTCCTTCTTTCCATTGTCTAATTAGAAGTCTCCTTTCTTTTCCTTTTGTACTTTTTCCATGTAAGTAAGAGTGCATGCTTTTTTTTTTTACACGTATCTTTGATTCTATTTAAAGTAATTTAGAAAATGGAAAAATGAGAGAGGAATTCAATCTCCAAGAAAGTTGTAATTAGTCCTGGCAGAAGAGGGGAAGTGGCAAGGAAATAGAAGTAAGAATACTTTTTTAGGTTGGAAGATTCCAGTTAGTTGGTAGTTAACAGTATTTACTCAGAGTAAGAACCACTGCCCACGTGAATTTCTTAAAAGGAGAACTCTCTAGGCAGGGGAGTGGTGGTGGAGAGAGAGTGCTTGAGCAACTGGTAATTAGAAATTATTACAGCTCTGGCCAGGTAGCTAAGTTGGTTAAAGCGTTGTCTTGATAAGATACACCAAGGCTGTGGGTTCAGTCCCTGTCTGGGAGATACACCTCTCCCTCTCCTTTTTCTCTCACCCCCATCTCTTCTCTTCTCCTTTTCTTCTCTCTGTCTTTTCGAAAATTAAAACAAACAAACAAACAAACAAACAAACAAACCCCCAGACAATTCCTATACACAATTAGCATCTTCAGTGACTGGCTGCAGAGAACTGAATGGGGTAGGCTAGAACTGTAAGATTTGAGGCATTTGTGGGTGAGGATAACATAACAAAGTAAAAAATGTATAGTCATATTTATAGAATTTATCAGTTTAGCAGCTGATGATAAAATCATACACAAGTATGTTTTTCTTATTTTTCTACCTCGGTAGCTCTCAGTTTTACAACATAATCAGCATATACTTTCATAGTAAGTGTTGTTTCAGGAGACAACCATTATTTCACGCAATGCCCTGTGATATTTTTATATATTTTTTTCATTAAAAAAAATGTTGGCACAATGCACCAAATTAACTTTATGAATTATGAATGTGTTGTGATTCAGTTTGGAAAACTATTCTAATGTACATATTTTATTTAAAATAAAAATTAATGTTTTCTGAATAGCTATGCTATTTTACTTTATTTATTTATTTATTTATTTATTTATTTATTTATTTATGTAGAGAGGAGAAGGGAGGAAGAAAGAGAGGGAGAGAAACATCAACATGTGGTTGCCCTTCATACATCACCAAGTGAGGACCTGGCCTACAGACCAGTTATGTGCCCCGACTGGGAATCAAACTAGCAACCCTTTGGTTCTCAAGCCAGCACTCAGTCCACTGAGCCACAACAGCCAGGGCATGAATAGTTATGCTATTTTAAAAATATTTTTTAATAGATAAAAAGCACAAGAAAAAAGGTCATGTATTATAACCCTATTTTTCTTTGGATAGTTCTCTGACCTTTTTCAGTAACATACAAGCACCATGCCTGGAAAAAAGATTCTAAGAAAGTTTACCAATATATCAATATTACTAGCACTGGGTTGTAGGATAAAGTGGCTTATATTTACTTAATTTTTTCCAGTGTACTTTTGAATTTGTATACATTAAACATAATTTTTATAATCAGAAAAATGTAAGCCTTCAAATAATAGGTGATAGGTAATATTTGATCTCTTGCTACAGGCTAGACAACTTTTTTTTTAAGATTTTATTTATTTATTTTTAGAGAGGGAAGGGAGGGAGATAGAGAGAGAAACATCAGTGTGCGGTTGCTGGGGGTCATGGTCTGCAATCCAGGCATGTACCCTGACTGGGAATCGAACCTGCGACACTTTGGTTCGCAGCCCGCACTCAGTCCACTGAGCTACACCATCTAGGGCCACTAGACAACTTTTAAAACTCTTTTCATGCATTAACTCATCAAGTGCTCCCAACAACATTATGAGTTAGGTACTTTTAGCCCATTTTAGGGGTGAGGAAATGGAGGCAGAACACTAGTTACACAGCTAATCCGTGG